CTTTAATCGATGTACTGATAGACAAATGTGAACTTAATTGATGTAAAACTCTGATTTCAGGATAGACAAATGTGAACTTAATTGATGTAAAACTCTGATTTCAGGATAGACAAATGTGAACTTAATTGATGTAAAACTCTGATTTCAGGATAGACAAATGTGAACCTAATTGATGTAAAACTCTGATTTCAGGATAGACAAATGTGAACTTAATTGATGTAAAACTCTGATTTCAGGATAGACAAATGTGTTGATGTAAAACTCTGATTTCAGGATAGACAAAAACTAATTGATGTAAAACTCTGATTTCAGGATAGACAAATGTGAACTTAATTGATGTAAAACTCTGATTTCAGGATAGACAAATGTGAACTTAATTGATGCAAAACTCTGATTTCAGGATAGACAAATGTGAACTTAGTTGATGTAAAACTCTGATTTCAGGATAGACAAATGTGAACTTAATTGATGTAAAACTGATTTCTGAGGATAGACAAATGTGAACTTAATTGATGTAAAACTCTGATTTCAGGATAGACAAATGTGAACTTAATTGATGTAAAACTCTGATTTCAGGATAGACAAATGTGAACCTAATTAATTGATGACAAATGTGAACTTAATTGATGTAAAACTCTGATTTCAGGATAGACAAATGTGAACTTAATTGATGTAAAACTCTGATTTCAGGATAGACAAATGTGAACTTAATTGATGTAAAACTCTGATTTCAGGATAGACAAATGTGAACTTAATTGATGTAAAACTCTGATTTCAGGATAGACAAATGTGAACCTAATTGATGTAAAACTCTGATTTCAGGATAGACAAATGTGAACTTAATTGATGTAAAACTCTGATTTCAGGATAGACAAATGTGAACTTAATTGATGTAAAACTCTGATTTCAGGATAGACAAATGTGAACCTAATTGATGTAAAACTCTGATTTCAGGATAGACAAATGTGAACCTAATTGATGTAAAACTCTGATTTCAGGATAGACAAATGTGAACTTAATTAATGTAAAACTCTGATTTCAGGATAGACAAATGTGAACTTAATTGATGTAAAACTCTGATTTCAGGATAGACAAATGTGAACTTAATTGATGTAAAACTCTGATTTCAGGATAGACAAATGTGAACTTAATTGATGTAAAACTCTGATTTCAGGATAGACAAATGAACTTTTGATGTAAAACTCTGATAGACAAATGTGAACTTAATTGATGTAAAACTCTGATTTCAGGATAGACAAATGTGAACTTAATTGATGTAAAACTCTGATTTCAGGATAGACAAATGTGAACTTAATTGATGTAAAACTCTGATTTCAGGATAGACAAATGTGAACTTAATTGATGTAAAACTCTGATTTCAGGATAGACAAATGTGAAAAATTCAGGATAGACAAATGTAAAACTAATTGATGTAAAACTCTGATTTCAGGATAGACAAATGTGAACTTAATTGATGTAAAACTCTGATTTCAGGATAGACAAATGTGAACCTAATTGATGTAAAACTCTGATTTCAGGATAGACAAATGTGAACTTAATTGATGTAAAACTCTGATTTCAGGATAGACAAATGTGAACTTAGTTGATGTAAAACTCTGATTTCAGGATAGACAAATGTGAACTTAATTGATGTAAAACTCTGATTTCAGGATAGACAAATGTGAACTTAATTGATGTAAAACTCTGATTTCAGGATAGACAAATGTGAACTTAATTGATGTAAAACTCTGATTTCAGGATAGACAAATGTGAACTTAATTGATGTAAAACTCTGATTTCAGGATAGACAAATGTGAACTTAATTGATGTAAAACTCTGATTTCAGGATAGACAAATGTGAACTTAATTGATGTAAAACTCTGATTTCAGGATAGACAAATGTGAACTTAATTGATGTAAAACTGATTTCTGATGTAAAACTCTGATTTCAGGATAGACAAATGTGAACTTAATTGATGTAAAACTCTGATTTCAGGATAGACAAATGTGAACTTAATTGATGTAAAACTCTGATTTCAGGATAGACAAATGTGAACCTAATTGATGTAAAACTTTGATTTCAGGATCTTATCTGAATCCGTTGTTGGCGTGTACACAAAACTACTCAGCGTTGACGGTGCCGTCATTTGACGTCTGCGGCAACCACCTCAGCGTTGACTACTGCGTCAGTATATGTAGACAGGAGGGTGCACCCTTCTCAGTGATAGAGGTCAGTCAATTGTGATAGCAACAACAGCAATAATAGCCCATCTGTAATTATATTCTCGTATTATACATACGTGTTTTGAGAGTTTGCTTGTTTAACACCCCAGTCAGCAATATTCCAGCTACATGGAGGCGGTCTGTAAATAATCGAGTCTGGACCAGACAATCCAGTAATGAATATTATGACTATCGATCTACGCAACTGGGATACGATAACATGTGTCAACCAAGTCAGCGAGCCTGACCACCCGACCCCGTTAGTTGCCTCTTACAACAAGCATGGGTTACTGAAGGCAAGTTGTAACCTGGATCGTCACGGCGTTTGAGGCTTTGACAGGACTTTTTGATTTTCTGGGGTAAGCAGTTCCATAACCTCAGTCTACAGTAGAAAATGCCCCTTGGTCAGTTAGTGAGTCCATCAAGCAGACAGCTGCTGTTCCACGGTACTGTCATTGAAGTTTAAGTGCCTCTACGTCATCAAAGATCTTACGTCAGGAAGAGACATAGCCTCATCACAGAAGAAGATATTGATTAATTGGGTGTCATCAGATAAAGAATAACTATCAATGTTAGATATCATCTCATAAACATATTGTGTTCTTCCACAAATTGTTTGTTAATGATTTGTATTGATATGGAATACATAAAAGTGGAATAAGCTGGAGAAACTACCATCGATATGAGTATGACATCATCATTCTCTGTGACGTCAATACATCTTACGTCACATAGCTTCAGCACACGTCATATGACTTTGTGGTTATGTTTTGATATTAACCATATATGGATGCTAATTTACTATGTCGCTGCAGCACAAGAAGGGGAGACAACATCCGTGTTGCTGGTGCAGCTATCAGTTTGATGCCCGCTACATCGGTGACTGCCCCAATAGGAACTACACACGGGGCGTGTCAGAATGGCTGTCGGTGTTTTCATCTTTCCCGAAGTTCGGTAAGGATTTTAGACTAGTGTTAAACTAAACTCCCTCCCTCCCTCCCTCACTCACTCATGCTGTTTGTTCACACATTCAGATATATTCCATCTATATGGTGGCCGGCAAATTATAGCATCCGGTTGGTTGGTTTATCGTTTAACGCCGCACTCAGCAATATTGCAGCTATATGGCGGCGGTCTGTAAATAATCGAGTCTGGACCAGACAATCCACTGATCAACAGAATCAACAAGTGTGAACCCAGTCAGCGAGCCTGCCCACCCGATCCCGTGAGTCGCCTCTTACGACAAGCATGGGTTACTGAAGATCAATATTCTAACCCGGATCTTCACCGGTTATAGCATCGGCAACCAGACACTCCAGTGATCGATATTGGGAACAACGTTCAGTGCCGTCGAGTTACGCCAACATGCAATCAATAAAGTGAATGTGTCTAACCACCCGATCCACATGGCCACCCCATTGGCCAGCATAGGTTGTTATGGATACATTCAAATCCGGAATCACAACTAGGATTTCGCCAAACTGTCACTGCATGGCACAACTAGGAGATCGTACTCGTTTCAGTGATTATATTAGAACGTTCAGTGATATATAAAGTGAGTTTGTGAACGTCATCAATATCCTTGCTATGTCGAGTCAACACGTAAATTAAAAAGTCTGGACCGGCCAATCTACCGAAAAGAACCCACGAGTGAGTTTAGTAGTGTTCAGTGTTGGGGAGGTGAAGTAGCCTAGAGGTTAGAGCGTTCGCTTTAACACCGAATACCGGGTTCTAATCCCCACATGGGTTCAAAGTTTGATGTCCCCCTAGGCGATATTGTTGGAATATTGCTAAAAGCGTCGTAAACCTTAACTCCTTCATGTCGCCAGATCAGATGTTAAAGATCATTTCAGTGAGTGATTAATATCATTTTATTCAACAGGTACAGCTATTGTGTTGAAAAGTTCAGAAGCGTTGTCTCAGACAGAGACGCTGTGTGCCCGCGTCAACCTCGACACTACGACGATACGTGAGCTGTCCAGCCAACCCTGCTTCACCAGGAACTACTACCTGTGTAACCTAGGTCAGTGTTCCTGCAACTATAGTCCGTTTGGCTCAAAAGCGGACCGATGAATTGCAATCTAACTCGAAAACTAATAAACATATAATACTCAATGAAACGCTGATCATAATCAAAACATCAGACCTACTCTGTGATTTGTTTGCAGAATTTATGTTCTAAAATTAAACAAGTTGTTTAACAAACAATCATTAAAATTTTGACACAATTCACCATTTGTTACGAGGGAGGAGTGCAGAGAAAGGGACAGCCAGGTGTTAGAGAAGCACGTGCACAAGTGCCGACAACGTTATTGATTCATTAACTTGTGCTGTGCCGTCTCCATCCTTTCTCGCACACCTGGCTGTCCCTTTCTCTGCACTACTCCCTCGTAACATATAGTGAATTGTGTCGATATTTTAATGATAGTTTGTTAAACAACTTTTTTAATTTTAGAACATAAATTCTGCAAACAAATCACAGAGTAGGTCTGATGTTTTGATTATGATCAGCGTTTCATTGAGTATTATATGTTTATTAGTTTTCGAGTTAGATTGCAATTCATCGGTCCGCAATTCAACACGGTTTTAAGTAGACAGTACACATTTTAATAATTCCGTCGTTGTCGTAAAATATATAAGACCGAAATACATCTGATTCTACTTCATGTTATTTGAAAGTCTCTGGTTGTTTGCAGGAAATAAGACAGATTGTACACTGACGTTGGAAGGTCAGTGTGTGTTCGTGGGTCAAACATGGGTCACGTGGTTTGCTGCACGTGCAGACTGCCGCAGTCGAGGTGGTGACTTGTTGATTGTAGGGAGCTGGTGGACATGTATGAGATCATACCGTACATCAAGCTGAAGAAGAACTACTGGATCGGAGCGTACAACCACGACTGGAACTTCGACTCAGGTATCTCGCCGTCATTATACCTATACCCGTCCTTTTGGGTTTCACCTGACTAAATTATCTCGGACCTGCTTCTCTTCCTGTTTTCACCCAACATAGACCTACATGTCATGATGCAGCTGGAAGTAAACAGAACTCACTCCCTCACTCACTCACTCACTCACTCACTCACTCACACACTCACTCACACACTCACTCACTCACTCACTCACTCACACACTCACTCACACCTCACTCACTCACTCATACACTCACTCACCCCCTCGCAGCTACGGAATTGCCGACTGAGCCAAACACCGTCATATGTTTGAGATGGACAGACAAACTGAGTAGGTGTTGAACTCTCCTGCGTTCACTGACGTTTTCTTTCTCCCCTTCCAGGTAGTGATGTGTTTCGGCGCCTCAGCAACTACGTGCCTCAGGAGACGTCTTGTGGCCACCTCTACAACGAAGGCAACACGTGGCGGTGGGCGGACACCGGCTGTGACTCCCGGAAGCCCTTTTACTGCCAGTTCGGTTGGTGACTTTGACCATTTTGTTTGACTGCATTTGGAATATCCGACGCTTCCGTTAGACCTTACCAGTGACCTATTATTAACTCGACCTGCTCGAAAGTCACGATATGGAGTAAATGGTGGTCAGAGGGCTCTTTTGCCGTGTAATTAATCTATTAATAAGATGAAGTTAATTTCTATCCTCGCCATGTACAGCTACATGGCCACTCTTGTAAACAGTCTTGTTTGGACCAGATTATCCAGTGACTGGCACTGTAAGCAACAATCTACATGATCAGGGTACAATGATACACAATGAATGAGATATTTGCTCACCTCTTAAGACTAACATAGCCAACTGGGAAGAAATACGGATCCCCTCAGAAGGTGCAGATATCATGGAAAGGCTTTCAATTTCATCGTACATAATTTGTATATTTTATTTCAAATTTGATTTTCATTCATTCATAAGACATATGTCCTATTTAATTGTATTTGGGACCAAAGTAATTATTTGTACCTTATTTGATGTATCTTTTTTAACATTGGCTTGCTACTAGTTTGAACAACTTTAAATCTTGTACTCTGATTCTTCGAGAACACTATCATAACCTCTCTTCCATAAAATAGAAGCAGTGACTTGTAAGTGATTGTCTTTCATAATTGTCATAATTGGAATAAACTACACAAAAGGACAACCAGGGTTTTCCTGACCATAGTAAACATTTCATCACACGATAAATTAACTGTAGTCATGTGAAAACATGTTCACTTCGTTAATATACGTTGTTTATGATTTCCTTCAGACAGCGTCAAGTACGCCAACGTTCCTTCCTCCGACAACGACTACATCTGCCCTTGGGATATCGACCTCCCTACCCCCGTCATTCCCGACAGATCCGCCCGTCACCAACAGCGTCATCTACAACAACGTCTCCACCACGTCCCCGCAGCCAGTCGCCATCATCGGTGACGGTGGATGTATGTCATATGAGTTTACGATGCCAATGACAGCTCATTGCACTGTGGTCACTTGATATTGACAGTTCTTAATGGTTGTTTAAACTGAAGAATTTACCGCAGCACGATCAGTGAGTGAGTGAGTGAGTTGGGTTTTACGCCGCTTTTAGCAATATTCCAGCAATATCACTGCGGGGGACACCAGAAATGGGCTTCACACAATGTGCCCATGTGGGGAATCGAACCCGGGCCTTGGCGTGACGAGCGAACGCTTTAACCACTGGGCTACCCCACCGCCCCGCAGCACGATCAGTCGGTACCATGTTATGTATAGTTTTTTTTATACATTTACACCCACTGTCAGCCGGTAATACCTATTGTAATAATTAGGACAGACCATTAAATATAAACATAATAATGATAATGAAATTCCTTGGTGGGTATGACTAGGCAGGTGGCGGTGGGGTTAAAGCGTTGGCTCGTCACGCCGAAGACCAGGGTTCGATTCCCCACATGAGTACAATGTGTGCAGTTCATTTCTGGTGTCCACCGCCGTGATATTGCTGGAATATTGCTAAAATCGGCGTAAACTAAACTCACTCGACTAGGCAGCGTTTTTCTGGGAGAAGTCCCTTTAGCTGTCTGGGCTGCGTGTAGAGGGGACAAGAGCCCTGAGCTGTTGATGAGGATCACCCGAACCCTCTCTGCTGCATGCTATTTTACCTGTAAAATATGATAATGTGTATAGATGTTGTGTGGAGGGGAGGTGGTGGTGTGTGATTGAAATTTTGTGTAAGTTTGAGCACTGTTTCGATCTATTTCAGCCTCGTTCCCCCTGGCTGCTGTGATCGCTGCTTGTGTAGCCGCAGTCCTTATGCTGCTCTGTGCCCTGCTCTCAGTCTTCTTCATCAGACGCAGGTAAACTTTTGGAGGATGTTCTTCTAGTGTTGCATAATTTCAACAGTAATGAATGTGTTAGAAATACTACAAATCTGTCCAAACAGACGTTAAACCCAACTCACTCACTCACACACTCACTCACACACTCACTCACACACTCATCGTGATTTCCTTAAAAACAAAATCCAGAGAATTGTTTTTCTTTTCTAGACAATGGGTTGCCAAAAAATTCAGCCGAAAATCTGACCGTGTTTTTGGTGGTCATCGTTTACCACGACGTTTCTACCATCGGTGGAGTAACAACTACAACTACTACCCCGACCACCTCTCCGACGGCGGATGGGAGTCCATTTCAACTCACCACACCGGGGTCTTGAGTGACATGAGCGTCGTCTCCGCACCCTCCCCGGGAGGCTATGTGCGGGAAGGATACGAGAACCGGGGACTCTCTAGAGCATACACCCTCGCCTCCCCAGCCGACCTGGATGCCCTTTACGCTAATGTGAACCACAAAGGGGGGATAATCCGCCGCTCTACCACCAAGGGAAGCAGTCATAACTTCACAACAGTTGGCCACGCTTTGGGAAGTGGAATGGCGGGGACTTCCGGTTTAGGCGGAAGTGGTTCGAATATTGGTTTGCAGCATGATCTGAACAAATCACTGACCTCTATTCACCACACAGGGTTGTCAGCATCCAAGGAATATATGACATTGGCGGCACATATGAATATTTTGGAGGATGTAGGATCCACAAGATCGGCAACCCGCACCCGCCCTGAAGTTGCCTTGGTAACCAATGATGTTGATCTCAATTTCACAGTTAATCGTGCTGTTACCAAGAACAGAACTGGCAGTGAGCATTCGAGCGAACGCACCATAGAAGAGATTGAGTTACCTGTGGGGACAACTGTCGAGATCCCAACACATTCTGACACGGTACATTTTTGAGTATGTTGAGAAACGGTAAAATACCATGGAATAGAAAGGACGTTAAGGTGAAGGTGACAAGAATATAACAATTTATCTGCCAAAACTATGAATAATTTCGTATGATAACAATCCATAATTGTAATTGTTTCTTTTATCTAATTATTTAAAAATATATGTTAGTTGGTGCATGCGCGCACCTATACGGAAAAAGGAAATGTATCATGCTCAAAGCAGAGCATAGCTTTGTGATCGTGCACAACACAAGCATATTCACATCCCCATCGACACGCTCATACACGAAATACACGTCCCATATGGGCATGACGAGCCCAAACTTCATTCAGGACTCTAAAATTGTTATTGCTTAGGCAAGCTATTTACCAACCAAAATCCCATGTTAACTTCTATAACTGTATAATTAAAAAAAATAAATCCTTTTCGCTTCAATAACATCGAATGTACCATTCCGACTTTATATGCTCCACAGCAAGACAAATTGGAGCGAAATCTTATGCATAATCAATTTAGACTCGAATTCCATTTGTAACAAGCTTAAGAAAATGATAGTAAGCCTATGATTCGGCGTTACTAGTATTAGTGTCTAACAAAACAATCTTCAGAAAGTTTACAAAAAATGAAATAATATCTTATTTTATGAAAGTGCATTTCTTTTAAGGAGAAATAAGAATAAAGCAGAATTGTTTTCCTAATCCACATAATGACTGTTTATTACCTATGATACTTTATACTTTATGACAACAATCTGTGATTCTGTTTTACCCAGCTATGCCTCCATTGCCATATAGAAGTAGATCATATACCAAATCGTCTACCGATAAATATAAAGATTTAAAGATTTAACTCTTTTAATGTATGTCATACCTTATAACCAAACATATACCAAGGTTATTATAATCTTTATCCTGCACAATATACAAGGTTAACCTGTAAATAATGGGTGTAATTACATGGAATTTGTATGTATTACCGCCGTACATCACGAAGCATTAATTTACATTGTCCTGGGCCCCGTTCCTCAAAGCGATCGTAGCGCTACGACAGCCGTAACTCCCATACTTTAGCATAGACTTACGACTGTCGTAGCGCTACGATCGCTTTGAGGAACGGGGCCCAGATCCAGAAAGCGTTCGTAACGTTACGACCTGTCGTAACTCTATAATTTAACATAGACTTACGAATGTCGTAGCGCTAGGTAGGCTTTACGGATCGGGACCCTGGTCTAATATGTTATGTTGCTCAGGCCTTTGATGTGTTGATCAACACCGTGTGTATTAAATCTCGTCATTTTCAGATCCAGCTATGATGTTGCCTTTAGTTTTAGAATGTTCTTGATAATTGTTGTCATTGTATTTAGATAGGTAACACGTATTTTGTTTTGCTATTGTAAATGCTCTGTAGAGATGTATATTTTCAAATAAATACCAGGTTCTGAAACAATACGTTACGTTACTTTGTGTAATTTGAATTACGAAATATATCTGGAAGGAAAATGACCGACGGGAGTGAAAATCTCAAAACCTTAAGAAGCAACCATTTAATCAATCAAATCACTGGCTACTTTATCAGTCACTTCAAATTCGAAACCATATCACAGATACCATTGTTCTAGAAGGTCCCTCTTGGAGCCTGCTGATTTAAGAAATTAGTAACAGCGGGTAGGACGCTAAAGGGTGGAACCCAACACATTTAGTTCCAGACAACGAATCGAAATAACTGGCCATACATGTTTCTGATAACTGAGGTAGCGTGTACGGTGGCTGTGCTGTAACCTAGCAACGTCAACGCAGGGACTCCAAATAGCCATGTGGCGATTCGAACCCCGACCTCCGTTTATGACGAACGATATATGATCATAACGCTTTCTTCCATTAAGCGGGATTTTGACTTCTCATAAAGGACATCGTATTTTTAAAGCAATATCGTTTGTAAACCTGCGATGTTTTTACACGAATTGAAGCATTTTCATACGGTTTAGTCCCGATTTTGACAGTCCCAATTTTGACAGTGAAATTTCACACTTCTGCAATTGATCTAGCCAGTTGTCCCAATTTTGACAGTGAGCTTACCGGTCGTCCCAATTTTGACAGTCCTCTCCTACCATCTAAAATTGTACCTTTCCCAGCCATGACCAAATACGATATGAAAATGTCATGCATACTTTGCAAGTAATTGGTAAAGCTAATTTTCCCATCCTGCTCATGACGAAACTTTTTAAAAATATTGCATTCACACGTCTCAACTGGTAATGCTACTTCTCGTGTTTTTTTTCAATGACAATCGCGCCAAACAATAACTAGGCCCTTGTCATATCATCCCCGAGCGGTATTAGTGTTCAGGAATGTTACTTGTTCTGTACGACATGCCGAGAATTGTTTTGTCTTGACTAACAAACGTGAACGTGTTTCTCCAGATAAGCCGTTTTGTCAGTAAATGTTCTTGCGTTCGTTCACAAGTACGACAACTGCAGAATAATAAATGAATGTTTATGATTAAAGGTTGTAATAAGTACATTATGACGATATACTATTTCTTTTCTTTATTTCCTGACTGACGATGTTCATTTAATGGGATTCAGCAGGTGCCCGGAGAATGTCGACATACCATTCCCAAAGAGAATGTCGTGGGGGTTATCGGATGCATGGCGAACCCACACTTCATCTCCAAACTTCAGGTCCACGATGGCCTGGGCGGAGGAGGGCGTGGCTTCTGAGCCAGGCTGCACGTACCCATTACCACTTGCAGGAATCTTTGTTGATGGTAGACCTGTCAATGTAAACACAAACATTGCAGTCGTTTACACTGCCGGGCAAAATATTGTGAACACTTGAAAATTGGATTTAACCGAAACATTATCAAAACGTTCTTACACTGAAACCTGTCACCGAAACACCACAAAAGCATTGCCCAAAACACCTGAATCACAATATATTCACCATCGAATATATTTTCTTGTTTCCTTTAGTTCTTTACACGGGGGCGGTGGGGTAGCCTAGTGGTAAAAGCAGTCGCTCGTCACTCCGAAGACCCGGGTTCGATTCCCCACATGGGTAAAATGTGTGAAACCCATTTCTGGTGTCCCCTGCCGTGATATTGCTGGAATATTGCTAAAAGCGGAGTAAAACTAGACTCTCTTACTCACTCGTTACACGGGATGCTATTCTGTGGAGATTTACTGGCCCGGCTGGATTTTTACTAGCCACGGGCTAGCAGGCCAGTGGCTATTTCGCACACTGCATATTCGTTTCTGATAACTGAGGTTATAATCAGATAAATACAGATGTATTGAACAATGTTTCTTAATAGTGTCCATAGCCTAAGTTGCCAGTCGCGAGCTGAGTTTATCACTTCTCGGCAACCCATCAACCTGTCACTTGTACTTCTATACTTGGCTGACTTATTTGAGGGCTACCAAATAAAAATGTAAATTTTCGATAACATTTGAAGTAACCAAGTTCATAATGTGGTTTTATTCAATAACATGAAGGAAGTGTTTTACTTATGCATAACAGATCAAGAGATCAGGAGTTTATCCAGTCTACAGATCTGTTTAAGATCGGGGTGAGGTGAGGTGTAATTGGGTTTAAAGTCGTGCTTGAGAATATTTCGCTCATATGACGACGTGCATGCGTGTGTATGTGTATGTGTGGCTGCTTGTTCTAGCCCAGACTTAAGCTGGTTTTATAGTGCTAGCCCACTGAGATACCATGCCGCAGTGAAGCATGAATACCCCACTCAGACACATTATACTGACTCCCAGCCGACCAGTCCTTGCTGTACCCATTAATGCCGAGCGTCAGGCAGGGACCAACAAGTACCATATTTTAACGTCTTTTGGTGTGACGCGGTCGGGGATCGAACCCGCGACCTTCCACTCTCCGGGCGGACGCTCTAACCACGTTTAAGATCGGATAACCATGTTCAACTGTATGGAGACGTTATATTATAATATGCATTCGAAACTGATACATGTCGCCATGTCACACTAAAATCAATAGGTAATACCAATGCAACAGAGTATCATTCATTCGGTTGGTCTTTCACTAGTGTCACTGTAAAGTCAGCTATGCTAGGTTGTTCTACTTACCTAAGCCAGGTGGTGTGGTGGATATGTATCTTTTGTCTATTCCGTTATAGAAATCATCCTCTACTTCTTCTGACTCTTCATCCTCCACGCTTCGCCCAAATCTTGACTTTGACGAGAACACTCGCCCAATCTGTACTCCGTTGTTGACGATCTCCAGCTGTATTCCGCCATATGACCCGATTGAAATAGACAGCTGATATGTTCCTGGCTGTGGGCAACGAAACACGCCCAACCTTGCGTCATATCCGTTTCCTTTGTTTAACACGACGTCATCGAAGCGGATGATTTGGCCTCTGCCGAGACCTGAGAGGTTCTGAGTGAGGCGAACGTTAAAGGCCACAAAGGCCACCGGATTCGTACCTGTATAAAGATAAAAATTGTAAATATTATAGGTTTATAATATAGTGACATAAAATGTACGAAATAACGTTTTTCTTTGTCATTAGATAACAATATCTATAATTCATAAACTTTTCTTTTTTCGTTACCAGATTAGACCTACTAAAGACAGTGTTTAAACAGCGAGCAACAGATTATGGACACTAGTTGTCCAAAAAGGTGACCCACTTGATAAGGCGTTTCGTAAAACTAGAATACAGTTTCCAAATATGTGTCATATTTGCAGTGTCATTTCATGTGTACATGTATGTACTTAAATAGAAGATACATATGTAAACATGGACACATGTAAGTATAATAGGTACAAACAGATAACTAGCAAGCATGTCAAGCTGGAAAGGGTTTTGCGATATTACAGGAAGTAATTTTGTCCAGGCGTTAGAATTATTGAGTGAGTTTAGTTTTACGCCGCACTCAGCAATATTCCAGCTATATGACGGCGGTCTGTAAATAATCGAGTCTGGACCAGACAATCCAGTGATCAACATCAATAGCATCGATTTACGCAATTGGGACCAGGCGTTAGAGACGTGATTGGATGATCACCTTAGATCTCTGACGGCTTTGTACCGCGGCACCGCGAGAGACACACTTTATTCAGTAGGAGTGATCAGCCCATACTACGTGGACATAGCAGTCCTATGTTAAATCACACAAGGTAGAAACAATTCATTCTTATAATGTAGGTATGTGGGTGTTTCCTTATTAGCAAGTATTTGCTAAAAAGAAACATGTATTTAAGAGCTTATGACTATAACTTGTGTGAATTTCTTAGTTTTGAAATTTCATTGTAACATTGCGAGGGGTAGTTAGTTTACATAGGCGTATCGATCCCAAATAAACAATACACGGCAATCATTTTCAAAGTATTCACGTGTTTCTAGGGAAATGCGTAGATCACTCGAGTGTCTGGTCCAGAATCGATAATTGACAATCCGACTTCATACAACTGGAAGATTTGCTGAGTGAGTGGGTGAGTTTAGTTTTACGCCGCACTCAGCAATATTCCAGCTATATGGCGGCGGTCTGGAAATAATCAAGTCTGGACCAGACAATCCAGTGATCAACAGCATGAGCATCGATCTACGCAATTGGGATACAATGACAGCGTTAAACAACAAACAAATACAGGTGTATTGAACAGTGTTTCTTACCTGGTCCAGACGGGTGTACAGGAATATTCACTACCTGGTCGTAGACCTTGGTGAGCATTGATTTTATACCAAGTACGTCGGCGTTGAGGTTCATGATGAAGTTGTCACGGTCGTAGTCGGTCTGAAACATCGTCACCGGTGCTAGTGTGCTGCCGATAATCGGGGTGGGTGATATCTGCTCACTTGTAACATGAGGAAAAGCAACGAGAACTGCAATAACTAGAAGCTGCCTGAGACTTTCCATTCTGGAACAGAGCTGTGGCGAGTATGATCTGTTTACACGGTGGTTGAGAAACGTCTATTACTTCTTTGATAAGACTTGAGCCATAACGCGAATGAACATCTTGCGTTTTCCCATGCTATTTTTGATACGACTGAATATGTGACATTTGATTATGATAATCGTAACAACTGACATGCTATGTTAAATACTAGTGTTCTACCAGCATGTACGCTTCCTCGAAACGATGAGCGTATCCTGCTACATCGAAGGCACCTGTCACACACACATGCAAAGGCACGTCAATTGTCACAAAAACAAAAACAACCACCAACAAAGAAATAACACCCTCACCCCGCCCCTAAATGTTTTTTTTTTAAAAGTACAAAAAAGACAACGACAACAAACACAACAACAACAAACAAACAGGAATGTATGCCAAATTGGGAAATTGCGTCGGACATTATTTTTGTCCTCCGTACCATAGGAAGGTCAAGATCGAATGTTGTTGAATGTACTCACTCTACAGTCTTGTGGAAAGTAGTTTGTCTCTGAATCTAAAGGGACAGCTCGAAATCTGATACAGATGAAATGGATCACTCGTCTGCTATATCTTTAGTTCGGATGGGTCAATCAGGCTAAAGGAATAAATTGTACCTGTTTGATCATTAACCTATCGGTTTTTGATCATTCGCGAAACGAGAGCAGCATTGCATGTCACCTTATTATATGAATTATGCAATGTTGAGTTTATGACCAATGGTTCTTGGTCCAGGGGTAGTGCAAGGAGGAATCTCATTTTTGTCCTTTAGTAATATCGTAGTTGATGTATGTGACTGAGTTTGGTTTTACGCCGCTTTTAGCAATATTCCAGCATAATCACGGCGGGGGACACCAGAAATGGGTTTCACACATTGTACCCATGTGGGGAATCGAACCCGGGTCTTCAGCGTGACGAGCGAACGCTTTAACAACTAGGCTACCCCAAGTTGATGTATGTCATCAAGGTGGCCCACAACACTGCGGTTTGTTTCCTTGCTACACCATGGGCGTTATTGGTGCAGAATGCGTATAAAGTAATCTATGTTTGTGAGAATCCACTACGAGCACTGGATGTTTATGTTCTGTGAGGATGGGTAGGCGTGTGGTTAAAGTGCTCGCTAGTGCTTCCGAAACCCCGGTTCCATTCCTTACACTAGTGAAGCCCATTCCTCGTACCTCTAAAGCGGCGCAAAACCACACTCATTTACTCTTCTTCTATGTTTGACTCGTGTGCCATTGTGCGTATCCCTGATCATGCGTTCGGTCATTTTACAAGTTGCGGGCTGCGGCATTCAACAACATTCAACCAGAGCGACAGCAGTAATGTCAGGACACTATCACAGGGTCAGCTGATAGAGTAACAACATTCTTTCTACGATGGGAGCCGTTGATCATGTTGACCTGGTTGACCCTGTACTTTTAAACCTCAATTTTGTATATGACATTTTCCTTGTTGACACTTGCTTGTTGAACGTCATGGGTATCACTTGTAGAAGGGATCTATTGAACAATAACATTCGGCGTACAATGTAGTCATCGTCGCTGAGAATTTGTACCACAAAACAATGTCGTTAATAATTCACTGTGAATGTTTCTGATCATGTTGGCGCGGTGGGGTAGCCTAGTGGTAGACGCGTTCGCTCGTCACGCCGAAGGCCCGGGTTCGATTCCCCACATGGGTACAATGTGTGAAGCCCATTTCTGGTGTCCCCCGCCGTGATATTGCTGGAATATTGCTAAAAGCGGCATAAAACTAAACTCCTTCACTCTGATCAATACAGTTGCACTCCTCAATTGTTATTCTTGCCGCCGGTTATCATAGATTGGATTCACCGTTATCTACTGCCTATTAATAGTGGTTGTTCCGATTAACTGAAATAATCGGAGATTGGTCGTAGTGACCTGACGACCAAGCAATCGATGACGTTTTCTCATAATCGAACACAAACGATTTTGGAAGTACTGTTTTACTGTTTGGAACCCTTGATGATGGAACATATCTAAGAAGGCCTGAAAACGTGTTTAATTCTTAAAAACTGGCTTCACTTACTGAAAAGTCATGAATGAATATTTCTTGAAGACTCCAGGAAGTTTATGTTTATGATAAATAGTCATCACTTTAAAATAGTAAGTTGCATCATTTTACAGTGGATGTGAACTTTGCAAATGCAAATTTTCAGTTTCTAAAATAAAACAGAACCATATTATACTTATCTGCAATAACAACCTGAACAGAAAAATCTTTAAAATGACGATAACCAATTTTTTTCGATGATTGCTCGTTGGTAATGAACCAAATATCAATTGTGAGATTTCAACCAATTCTCAACACTACTTATTATCATAACGTGACTGCTCCGTGGTCACCCTATTTTAGCATGAACTGACTTCACTTGCGGGTCAAAGTGTTTGATGACGATAGAACGAGTTTTACAATCTGTTACTATTCATAAGATAAGGCGTTGTATTTATTGCGAATTACCTTTTATTCAAGAATGCGATTAACACGTTGGATATTGTCAGATGCCTTGTGCTTGATGTGAATACACAGTCTGTGTCACTTTACTGTGTACAGACACGAAATGTTATATATAATAATAATAATAATAATAATAATAATAATAAGCATGGCTCGCTGTTTTACTACCGTCTCCGACATGCCTGTGGCTTTGACTCCGAGGTCCATCCATGGTACGACCCTGAACATGTCCAGGGCGTCATGGAAAATGACGCTTTCAAACTTCTGTGGAATAGGCCCATATACAGCCTCAGAAGAATTCCAGCTAACAAACCTGATCTTGTCCTTTTGATAAAGCCAATGAAATTATATATATCATTGAATTTTCTGTCCCTTTTGACAGGAATGTGATTGACAAGATCAAGGAAAAGCATGATAAATATGCGGACCTCGCCTTTGAAATGTCTCGCTTGCATCCCAAATTACACTGTCGTCAGGCTCCCCATTGTTCTCGGTGCCCTTGGTTTGGTACCTCCTGATCTCTTGGCGCAGATCAGGAGAGTGCCAGGTTTTCCACCGGGAAGTACAGCCCTTCTGACACTCTGGGTAATGCAGAAGGCTGCAGTGTTGGGGAGCCTTCATATTCTCAGAAAGTTCTTGGTGGGTTCGACTAGGCAGCGTTTCCTGGGAGAAGTCCCATTCGCTGTCTGGGCTGCGTGTAGAGGGGCAAGGGCCCTGAGCTGATGATGAGCCTTACCAGCCTGACTGTGCCAGGATCACCCGAACCCTCTCTGCTGCATACTATCTTTAATCTGTAAAACATAATAATAATAATAATAATAATAATAATAATAATAAGGGCCTGATGATGTACGCCTCTCCGTGGTGGGCCTAGATAGGGGAATTATATTCCCTGAACTGAACGTACATCACCCAGTTAGGGCTGACCCCCCGAAGCTGGTTTTTCACTGGGTTACTAACAGCCAAGAAGAGTATAGTCTTTCACTTCCGCAGCCCAGTCAGCCTTCCTCCGGTAGTCAAACCAACCTTACTGGAGATGGGACTTGCCCCAGGGGAAGGCACAGAACCCGGCCAAGAATATCTTGGTCAAACCATCTAAAATCCACACTACTAGAGTGTGCGAAAGCGACAGGATGGCCTGATAATCCACGAATAAATGGCAAGTCGCTTAAGCTGCATTGGGACAATGCCATGCCCATGTATGCTTACCTGACGGAGCAAAATCTTCGAGATCAATTCCGGCGGCTTAAAAATCTCTTGCCCCGTGAGCCAGTTCAACCCACAACTGGTGCCCGTCAGGAACCTTTGCATGAACAGAATGCTCAAGTGGCAGCAGACCCGAAACTTCTAATGGACGTCCGTGTCAACCTCTTTCCTCTTGCTGATGGAAACTCTTCCGACAAAGAGCTAATTGGCCCCGAAATTTCAGACCCTCACCCTTCCTCTTCTTCAGTTGCAGATCTTTCCGAAAACCCTGTGTATATTTTGTTTCATTCTATTTATGATGAAATATCTGGCATACCTTTAGAAAATCGGAGGCCTATTAAACAAACAAATGAATCTTTTCCCAAAAATGAAATTAATTTATTAAATGATATTATTTCTATGAAACTTTCATCGGACTGTTCATTACATGAAGTTAATTGTTGTGTCTATGCTGCCGCTCGAACCTTGGAGGAAATTCACACAGTTTCCAAAGAAAAAACATCTAACACTAAGAACAAAACACCAAAGAAAAACCGGTTTCAAGTAAAACTAACGGAAACTAGAAAATACATTTCCTGGATAGAACTGTGCCTGAAGTTAAGATCACCAGGGGAGTCCAATGTCAAAACGGCAAAAGTCAATTTGGAGAAAATTAAAAATACAATACAAGACAACAAAGAAAAGGTACTTCTCCAAATTGTCGATTCCCTTAAGGCCAAAATAAAGGTTTGGACTGAAAGAAAGAAAAAATGGGAAAAGAAAAATAAATTCATCAAACAAAATAAACTGTTTAGAACCAATGAAAAACACTTCTACAGGCAACTGAAAACAAAAGGTGATGGTGAACATGACAGACGGCCTCCCATGGATGCCAATGAAAGGTTCTGGAAACAGTTGTGGTCTGTACCCGGCAACTGTAACCTTGAGGCACCATGGGTCCGTGATTATGACCATGCAATGCATGAGAAGGTAACTAGGTCGTTTGTCTGTTACATCTCACCAGATTGCCTGAAAACTGTTATAAAAAAGTCCAGATCTAATACAGCTCCAGGGCCTGATGGCATTCGAAACCGGTATTGGAAACTGTTCCCCTGTGTCCAAACACCGTTACTACACTGTTTCAATATTCTCGTGGACACAGGTGATGTTCCTCCATGGTTCTGCAAAGGTCGCACAATACTTCTCCCCAAGAAAGGAGACTTGACTGATCCCAAAAACTTCCGCCCTATCACATGTTTGAATACACAATACAAAATATTCACAGGGTGTTTGACAAACCTCGTGTCATCTTACTGCTCTTCCAATGATATCATTTACAGAGAGCAGAAGGGAGCAAGAAAGGGATGTTGGGGGTGCAAGGATCAACTTCTTGTACAGAAAATGATTT